GCTCCTCAGCGGCCTCTCCGGAGCCCAGGCGAGGCGCGGGCCCTCCACGCGCAGGTGCTGCCGGCAGCAGTAAGGGGTCACCCAGGGGGACAGCCCCACCGAGGTCAGGATCGTCAAACAACTTCAGGGCTGCGGAGAACGTAGCAGCAGAGTGGTCAGAGGGAGTCCTGCCCATTCTCAGTGGCCGGGGGGGAGGGGGGAGGGGTGCCCAGCCAGGGACAAGGCAGAGCACAGAACCAGAGGAGTGGGGCCAGGGTACAAGGGCCAGGTGTTGATTGGGACCAGCACACTCCACCCCCAGTCAGCTGATGGCACCACTCAGTTCAAGTCCAGGTGGACTTCCTGGAGGAAGAAGCCTCCTGCCCCAGCTGGACCTCTTAGCTCAGCCCCCATGGCTGCACCCGTTTCCCAAGTACTTCCTGAGCACCAACCACTGGCCAAAGGCTGCTGCCTGAGGGGATGCAGGGTTGAGCTGACACCATTCTCCCCACAGCTCCTGCCTTCTAGGAGCCGGGGTGCAGCCCCTGTCTCTGCTGCCCTCAGGAAGGGACCACAGCCTCTCCACCTGGAAGAGCCCTCCTTCTTCAGCAGACCAGGAAAATGGCGCTGACGTTTTGGGATCCAGCTCAAGTAGAGCCCCCGCCTACAGGGAGCCTTCCCTGATGTCGCCACTCAGACCTGTCACAGACTCAGGCTCTCCTCTGACTGTCGGGAGATGACTGTCCCCTATGGGAGGCCCTGAGAGGCTGGAGTGAGTCGTCCTCATCATCATGTTCTCAGGCCCAACACACAGCCTGGCCTTCGGGGGGTGGTCACCAAGTGTCGGCTGAATTAATGGGTGACATCGATTTCTGGCCCTGGGAGAGGACCCGGGCGGGGTGAGGAAAGGTCAGACCCAGGGGCAGGTGTAGAAGCCCTGAAGACGCCCAGCTTCCCTTTCCCGCCTCTGCCCAGAGCCCTCCAGTGGGGTCGACATGGGTGACAGAACCTCTTGTCACAATTCCAATCCTGGAGCCGCAGAAGGAAGGCCCGGGGCAGTCACATCCACTGTCCACCGTGCCCGTGTCCACCCATCCCAAACCACACTTCTCAGCAACAGAGAGGAGTCCCCTCCCCTTCCCAGGGATGAGCAGAGTAAACACACACAAGCCCAGAACATTCCAGGTTGTGAGAAACGAGGCACGAGCAAGATTTCTCCAACAAAATGAGCCGGGTCTGTGTCAAGTCGAAACCTGTCCACACGGGGCAGGTCCGAAGCCGCTCACAGAGGCAGGTCTGGTCACCCAGGGGGCACCAGGGGACAGGAACACACTGGGCTCTACTTACGGTCCCTGGGGCGTGCGTCCTCCGCGGAGCCCCCGGCAGGGAGCTTCCTGCTTGGGCTGAAGAGCCCTGCATCAGGGTCCACCTCCTCGTCAAAGAGGGTGAGCCGTGGTGAGGGTCTGGGCTTCGCAGCTACTTTGGGGCATTTTTTTGGCTTCTTGGAGCTAGAGAATCACAGATAAGAGTCAAGGTTAGGGCATCTGACAGCCCCGCCGGTCGGCCCAGGGGGCCATGTCAGATCCACACAAGGTACTGGGTGGGTTTGAACTTGTGTCCTGAAGGACCTTTCCGAGGACCTGACTTTGGAGGTGGGAAGGCCCTGATACCAGAAGGGGCCCCGCCCAGTGCCCGGGGAAACACTGTCCGGGTGCACAGGAGGAGAAGGTGGGTGTCTGGGCTACGTGGCCGGTGGCCAGAGGACCCGCTGTGGGAAAGGACCCTCGGGCCTCAGGCACAACTGTATAGTCACAGGTCTCCTTCCAGAGGCTGTGGGGGTGGCTGACCTCAGCGCTCCCTGGGGTGAAACTCAGTCACTCCACGCTGCTTGGAAACAAAGCCTGAGGCCACAAACCTCAGAACCCAGCCCCAGGAGAGAGAATAAAGAAGCCCTAATAAATGTTCCATTTCCCACACACATTCTCCCAGCCCTTGAGCAGAATCTCAATCTAGGGTGCTGTACTCAGAGTGTCCACAAGAGGGCATTATTGCATCACCTCCATGATTGGGTGCTGTTCTCAGAGTGTCCACAAGAGAGCACCAAGGGGACAGGACCCACGGAGCAATCCCACCTTCTTCAGGAAGCCCTTCGGCTACTTAGAGCCCCTCTAGGCTCTGTCACCCCTAAGGGGTCCTGCTCTGGGCCAGAAGCTGCTGCGGGAATCCAGGAGGGGGCAGCAGGGAGCTCTGGGCGGTGGGGGTGCTCTCTCCTGGGGGGCGGTGGTTGCCTACACAGCGCACATGCACGTTCTCATGGACTGACTGAGCGCAGAGTTCTGCTCACATCACTGCAGGTTACGCTGCCAGTGCACAAATAAAGAAACTTGTGTTTAGTTTAACAAGATGATCTAATCCCTACCCCTGATGCCTAAATGAGCCACTTTAAGGTTCCTGAAAACGAGGATAAGCTTTTTACTGGAAACAGGATTTCTGGTTCGGCTGCCTGCCTGGCAGGCAGCTCCCCTGGACAGAGGTCACCGTCTGAGCTCCTGTTGGCAACACTACATGGCGAAACTGCCCGTGCAGGCTGGCTCTGCCCCAAACAACGGTAAGATGAGCCAGCAGCAGTTAACAGTAGCGGAGGGCGGTGCAGGGGGCAAGGTGCTGGAGGCCACCATTCCCACGGTCTGCATTCTGAGGCCTGGGAGGGTTTCAGGCTCCCAGATGGGATGGGGAGAAGCTACGAAAGGCAGGAGCACCTGTCGGAAGGTCACAGGGTGGAGCGCACCTCCGCACTCAGGGCTGAAGCCCTGGCCAGAGGGTCTCTGTCAGGCTCACTGGGCACATGACGAAACAGTGGTTCAGAGATGCAAGGGGTCGGCTCAAGGCCACATAGCAGGCAGGGACACCGACGAGAACAGAGGGTGGTCATGGTCATGGTCCTCTCCTCCTGCCCTCAGAGTGCCCCAGGAGCAAGAATGAGACACAGGACAGGATGGGACACAGGCTCGATCCTGCTGCTTGGGGAACCAGCGGCCTCTAGGGCAGGCAAGAGTCCTGAGGGAGGGGGAGGCGGAGGGGGCCCTGCGGGCAGGGTTCGAAAAGGCGGAGGCTTCCCCGACAGAGTGTGAAGTCCATGCAGAGCCCTCGCTGCTGGGAGGGGCTGGAGGGGGGGGGGGCCAGGGGCCTGGGGGGAAGCTCAAGAGCAAAACCACTCTGTCCGTGAAAAAATCCCTCTCCGCCTGTGACAGCAAAACCCACGGAAAACACGGCGCCGAGCAGGAGCCTGGCAGCCCGATGGCGCGCCGACCTATGGACCAGCACAGAGAGAACGCAGGACCCGCTGATCCACCTGCAAAACCGAGCCTACGGGCTGAAAAGGCAAAGCGAAGTATGGGATGGCGCTGGGACACGAGCCCATCTGGCAATAAAACAGGGAGACCCCAAAGCAGACACCTTCCCGGCGAAAGGGCTTCCAACTGTGTTCCGTTTCGATACGCTAATCGCATCGTCTCCAAGTCCTAATGGAACATGTTTCTAGCGGGATCCTTCCAGCACAAGGCAGGCTGTTCCGGCAGAACCCGTCCTTCTCAGAACCGTGAAGCCCCCGAAATAGGAAGTTAAATACAAAAACCATGTACGACATGGAAAGCGACCCGGAGAGGCCACCAAGGAAAAAAAAATGCATAGAAATGCACGCGTGCTAACGCCCGCAGCTGCGTGGATCGCGTGGGTCGCGCTGGGCCAGGGACGCACAGAAACCCCACAGCCGGGGGCG